TATTAATTTTTTTTTAAATTTATTTATTTATTTGTGTGTGTGTGTGTGTGTGTGTGTGTGTGTGTGTGTGTGTGTGTGAGTGTGGCCAGCTCAGCCCACCAGGGGGCGGGGGCTGGCTGGCATGTGGTGCTGGGGGATTGAACTGCGGTCCCTGTGCTTTGGCTAAGCTTGTTCTAGGTAGGTGCTTTAGACCACTGAGCCATCTCACCAGCCCTGCAGAAGTCTTTAAAGGACTTTTTCATGCTTGATTTCAGTCCAAAGATTGTAGGTACTTGAATTCAGCAAAGTAACCCAGTATAGTCTAATAGTCCATAATAGTAGTGGGTTATCAGCACAACTGACAATTGTCCAAAATTGTTGATTTGAGCCTTTTACAACTCAGCGTATTAATATACCTTTACTTTTTATACCTTGTGGTTACACTTTTTTGCTGGATGGTTAAGACCAAGTTAAGGCAAGACCTATAATAATATGTATATTTGTATATATCTCTATCTCTATCTCTGTCTCTGTCTCTATCTCTATCTATCTATCTATCTATCTATCTATCTATCTATCTATCTGATAGTTAGGATAGATATACAGCTACTTTCTCTTAGTTCAATGAGAAGAAAGGTTTGTACTAATATTGTTTAGACAAGATATCAGGTCTGCATCTTGTTCTCTGAATAACTACTCCGAAGACAACATTATGCAATGTATTAATTTTTGTAACTGTTCTACTAACCTGTTTTGAAACTGTTTCATTGCTATTTTTTCTTTTTTTCTCATTAGATTAATATAAAACTGAGATAAAAAATAAAACATTAAAAAAAAACTCCAAAAAGATTCTTACAAACCCCCCCAAACATATAATAATACAAAACTTTCTCAAAGTAAAATAAGAAACACAAAACTTTCTTTTCAACAGAATAAGATAGGGGGCCAGGGAGATGGCTCAGTAGTATAAGCGCTTCCCTGGCAAGCACAAGGGCCTGAGTAGTGTATGTGGGACCAATCAGTGTATATGTTGAAATATTTTTAAAACAATGGACCTTGTAGTTTGGGAAAGTACAGTGTTCAATCTCTGCTTCCTATTTATATCTCTTCTATGTCTCTCTCCTCCCTGTAAATACATGTTGTGCTTCTCATATAGAGAACAAATGTGATATTTGAGCTTGTGTGTCAGATTGTTTTACTTCACATTGTACTCTGAAGTCGCAATTACCTAGGAAAGCCTTGCGTTTATCTTTATCCAGTCATCTATTTTAAATTGTGCTGCTACACATGTGAGTATGTATGCAGCCTATAATGTGATAATTTTCTCTCTTGGGAAGGTACCAGGGGACATCTGGGTGAAATGGAGTTTCTGGGTCAAATGTTTTTTTGAGGAATCCCTACGCTGATTTCCAAAATAGTTGTTCTAATTTACACTCCTAGGGAGGGGGAGATGGCTCAGTGTAATAAGCGCTTCCTTGGCAAGTGCAAGGGTCTGAGTTCAACCCCTGATTCCTAAAAAAAAAAAAAAATACACTCCTACCAACACAGGAGCAGAGCTCGATTTTTTCCACATCCCACAGGATTGTTTTATTATTGATTTTTTTGATGATAGCCATTCTTTCTGGAATAAATGGTATCCCAGTGTAGTTTTAATTGGCATTTCTCTGGTGGTCTGAGGTGATGAGCATTTTTTCATGTACTTATTGGCCATTTGTACTTCTGAGAAGTATCTATTCATTTTGGTCACCAGTTTTTGATGGAGTCTTTTATTTTGGGGAAGGTGTATATATGTATTTAAGGAGAAAAAACAAAACTGGTTCAGAATTTCAGAAGAAGATTATAGGAAGTGATCAATAGTTATTATATTGCACCTTGACATCTTCACTGTAGTTGCTCAGATTACCAGAGGCAAGCAAAATCGATCAAACAATATAAGCACTAATTGTTCCTTTCGATAAACTAGTAGAAATTAGTGGTACAAATGTCTTAGCTGTCTTGTATATACACACGTATGTTTTCCCCCTACTTTTCTTCTCCTTTCCCCCATCACCTGTTCTTTCATTTTCAGCAGTTTTCCTTCCTTTTCAAAATATTTATTGTACTTTTTGGGTCTTATTTACTCTTTTAGTTTCTTACACTAGGTAGACCACACTCACAAGTGAGAGAAATCAGACTCTTTATATGTTACTTATATTACTCTTCTTTCTAAGAAATATATAGCAAAGTTTTCCCGTTCCGTAGATTGTCTTTTTACTCTGTTCGTTGTTGGTTTTGTTGTGCGGACAAGTGTTCTAATTTGATATGATCCCACTTGTTGATTCTCCGTCTCACCTCTGTGCCACTGGGGTTCTGTTCAGAAAGACTTGCCTGTGCCTGTGTTTTCAAGACTGGTACCTATTTTATGTTCCAGTAGCTGAAGGGTTTCTGTTTTAACATTTAGGTCTTTAATCATTTTGATTTTGTTTTCAGGCACTACAAGAGATCCAGGTCTGTACTCAGCCTTCTGACGAGATCGGGCGCACTTGGTGGTATGGCCGTAGGCAGGACTCAGTCTTCTGCACATGGAGATTCTTTGGTAGTTTTGGTTTGGGCTTCGACTGTTGCTTTCCAAGTATATTAAGGTTTCTCACCTGGTGCTTCAGTTGTGCTCACCCTGTTTTCTCAACGTAAGCACCGATTGCAGTGAACCTCCCACTTAGGCCTGCTTTCGTAGCGTCCTGGAAGCTCCAGTGCATTGCACAGGGCTTGCTGTTGACTTCCAGAACTTTAAAATGTCTTGCCTTGATTTCTTCGATGACTCACTGGTTGTTTAGGAATGTGTGATTAATTTTCCAGGCGCTTCTAATTTTTTCATAGCTTCTTCTGTAATGGATTGCTAATTTTCTTGCACAGTGGTCTGATAGTACACGTGTGGTCATTTTGATTTTTTATGTTTACTTAAACAGGCTTTGTGGGGTAGTATTTGATCTATTTTGGAGAAAGTACCATTTGCTACAGGACCTACTTCTGTTGTAGTAGGGTGGGATATTGTGTAGATGTCTATGTGTTCAAGGATGTGGTTCAGTTCCGATATTTCTTTCTTGAGTTTTTGTTTAGTTGATCTATTGCTTCGAAAAAGTGAGGTGTTAAGATCCCTCATTTCTTTTTTTTTTTTTGTACCAGGAATTGAACTCAGGACCTTATGCTTGCCACACAGGTGCTTGTGCTGTTGAGCTATATCCCCAGCTACTCCTTTTACTGTTGTGTTAATATTTTTTAATGGTAGCAACGTTCTTTTAAAGGTAGAAAATGGCTCAGGCTCTACAGATTGTGTTTGGGCCAAGTAAAAGAGAAATAAAAGATGTACACCCTATAGCATGAGGTTAGGTCGTCAGGCAGGAGCAAACAGAGTGGCATGCGTTAGCATTTATTTGACTTTTATCTTCAGCATTATTTTGTGAAGTTAGGTGCTCTGGTATTTGGTGCATACATATTTATTTATTAGGTAGAGGATCTGGCTGTGTAGCTTGGACTCCTAGAGACTTGCAGTGATCTTCTTGTCTCAGCCTCCCCAAAGCTGGGATTACAGGCCTGCACCACCGTGATGCATGAATATTTAGAAGTGTTACATCTTCTTGTTGCATTTTCCCCTTAACTACCATGTAGTAACCTACTGCGTCTCTTCTAATCAACTTTAGGGTGAAGTTTAACATATCTGAGCTTGAACTTGTTCCCCTTCCTCATTTTCAGGGCCCTGCTGCATCAAGCTTCTTGAATGCGATGGGTTGTTGGGTTGTGTAGCTTTGATCCAGTCTGCAGTCTTTGTCTTTCAATCAGAAATTGCGGCCACTGTCTTTGAGGGCTACGGAGCTGAGCTGAGCCTTCACTGTTACCACACTCTGCTCTGTTGTGACTACTTTTTCTTTTCTTGTCACTATTTTTTAAAGAGAGTACAAAATAGTATTAAAATTTACAAATGACGCAGTGTTTCACTAAACAACATAACATGAACTGGACAGTATTTGCATTGCATAGTGTTGTCAATTAGTTGTTCAGATGACCAGATATAATGCATACAAAACTGGAAAGAGAAAAAAAGTTGTAAGAAATATAAGAAGAGAGAAAAAGGACAAACATATTAAAAAAGAAGACAAAAATTTAAGCATTAACTGTTCCTTTCCATAGATTATCTGAAATGCACAGTACAATTATTCAAATTATCCTGCTTACACTCATAGGTATACCTCTTTTTTTTTTTTTAGATAAATTTCAAAT